TTAACAGGAAGAAAAGGAGAATTCCTGCTCGCTCAGAGAGCTCGATTCCTCTTACATCTCAATTTTAAATCATTTGTAGGCACGCAGTATCCTTTAAGTTCTCTAATGTTACTCCTTTTAACGATGCTGCCGGCTGCAGAGGCTTCCTCCACGACGCCCTCACACTCCTGCAGCTACATCAGCTTCAGCCGCCAACAGCAGAGAGCAAAGAAAACCTCAAACAAACACTTTGATATTCACCCTTTCATTGTTATATTTTAACACATTCACACGTCAGCGATTAGAATCAAGAGTCACTATGATTTAAGCTGATGAGCCCAACATCAAGGCCATAATTAGTGATAACAGTTAATAAAAGCATTAAAAGATCATTAAAAGCTCTGAGCTGATTTTGCTAAATTACCCCGATATTCATATTTGACCACACGGCATCAAAGATATCAAACACAGACAGGAAGTAAAAAAGTATGTTTAAAAAAAAGGGCACAATTTCACTTTTAAAATGATGTCAAGAGCGACACAAAACATGAAAAGACCTGAAAGCTAATGCTCTGTAATGTCCAGCAGGGGGCGACGACTCTGGTAGGAAACAAAGTCTGTCGCTCGTTTCATGTGAAAGCGTTCATCACCAACCAACAGGTGATGTCACAGCAGCTAGGTCCATCTTTTAGATACAGGCTATGGATAAACCTGACTGGTCCACAGGGAGAATTTAAGGACTAAGGCACGTTTGGCAAAGGAACGTATTTCCACAGTGTCCGGATAAAAAACATGAAATGAACTTTAACTCGTCGGCATCAACTAAAGCGTTTATGAAACAGCCCCTGGATGGTTGATGAGCAGACGTCTCCCCCTGCTGGACACTCCGAGTCATTTCAACACAAGTAAGGCTGATGAGTAATCGACTTTAACGCTCTCAGTCTCAACCTGAGCATCGTGAGGCGTTCAGGGACAGACGGTACTTCAATCAGGAATATTTTCCTTGGTGTGAGCAGGTAAAAGTGTGCAACATTTCATTCAAATTAAAAGTAAGGAGAATATATTTTAATATCAGGATTCTGCTGGAGCGACTCGGACCAATCGGAGGTGCCGACGCCTTCGAAAACACTTCTGCGATTCCTTCTCGTCCGTCTGATTATTTCTATGACAACAGGACGATAAAGCAAAGCGTTTATCACAAACTGCGTAAAAATGAATCCTACAATCTAAACTACAGCAGAAGATTTAGTGGTTTGATGGTTTTAGTGTCTCTCGTTTTCGGCGCTCTGCACAGCGACGGCGTGATGATTTCTGAGCAGAGCGCCCTCAGCGCTGGGGAAACTACAAACTGGATTTAAAAAGAAAAAAATGGACGTGAGGTCAGCATTGGAAGCTCCGCCCCTTCACCATCATGTTAGAGGAATATTGGGAAAAGTAATGAGCGACCTCACGCGTATGAGCAGAAAGACGCTTAAACTGTCTCGTTGGTTTTGAGTCTTTCCTCCTCTGCCGCCGTCGGGATGCCGTTAGTGTGCTCCTGCTTCTTGCCTTTGTTTAGGAAGGGAAGCCCCTTGCTCTTCACCTTCAGGCCGACGTCGATGAAAAACGCCACAGTCGCCAAGAAGCCAAAGACCTGGACGACAGAGAAGAAGAAGAGCGCTGCTGTAGGTGACCTGATAACACACTAGGGCTGCCACGATTGATCGACTATCAAAATAATCCTTTGTGGCAGCGCTATAACACACACTGTCAGCAAGGAAGGAAAGGAGGAGGTATAGAAGGAAAGGAAGATTCAGGAGGTAGGAAAGGAGGGTAGTGTGAGTCCGAGGACGTTTTCTCACCACAGCAACGGTCGCCTGAACCAAAGAGCCGCGGTCTGCAGCGAAGACGCAGGAGGAGATGAAGAGCAGCACAGCGATGACCCCGGTGTAAATCAAGTCCTGTAAAAGAGAAGAAGAAGAAGAAGAAGAAGGTGAGACGAGCGCCTCCGACAGTCTCCGAGTCGCCGCCCTCAATCTGACCGGATCAACAAAACAATAAAGGTGGACTTTTCTCAAACTGGAGGTGCTGCAGCGTGACGTGAAACAGCCACACGCTTCATTTTGAGCCTCGAGTCTGGAGTTTTTCAGCACGCTGAACCCTCGACTCACCGCTCACGGCCTCACTATACTTAATAATAAAGCTGTTTGTAATACTTCACATGTGACAGATTTTCATGGAGACAATCCTGCTGATCCACACTTTGGTTCATGAAAGTCCAAGTTCATATTCAGAGCTACGATCCAACAACAGTCTCGGAATAAACGT